CCCAAAAGCAACACTAACCCCACAAACCTCCCTCCACCTCACCCCCGGCGCCAAAGTCCCCGTAACAGTATTCGGCCTCCTCACCGCCGCATTAACAGGTACCACCACCGCTCTCCCCAGCAGCGCCTCAACCGCCAACATCGCACACCCAATCCTCTTCTTCCCATTCCCACTCGGAATCCCGGTTCTCTGTTCCCAATCGTGAAAAGCCGCGCCGGGGAACTCGAGGCGTAGGTCGGTTTGAATTTGTGTGTATGGGTGGTGATGTCTTGACGGGATGTGTAGATTTAGATTTGAAAGGGAGGAAGCTGTAGGTGAGAAATCGAGGGTTATTTCGGAGTGGTTTAGTAAGTGACGACCTGGGCCAAAGAGGAGGAGTTGCTGTGCTATGGAGGCGGAGAGGAAGCGTGTTACTGTCGCTAGGATATCTGCGTCGTTGCAGCCGCGGAAACGACACATGGTTAGGATTCTACATACCATATTGGCTCCATACGTTTCTTTCGAGACTATCTTTGGTGGCCTTGATTTAAGATATCTATCGTGCTCAAGAAGTTCTTCAACCACTTCATGACATATCTCCCCTTCGCCTTGGAATCGGTGAGGTGTTTGAATATCGTACCCCAGAGCGAGGAGTGTCGATGTTAAAAGATGGGTGCCTGGTCCGATATCCCATTCGTATAGTCCTTCTACACCACCACCACTACTCCCCTCCCTACTTCTCGGTACAAAAACCACAGAAGATATCTCCCCAATCTCAATACAAACCTGTAGTTTCCTCTTCTCCCTCCTCTCGCTAGACGTCGAGCATAACACCAATCCCGTGAGGAAACAGAAGAGATTCGTTCCTGGTCTGCCGATTGCCTGTTCTGTCGTGCGGAAATCGGAGACGGTTGTTACGCCTGTTTTGGCGGCTATTATTCCGCCTTCGCTTATGCTAGTTGGGGATCTTTGTGCTTTGTGGATCGCGTCGTCATGTTCATGTGAGGGAGACGGGGGGAGGGGGAGGAGAAATCCACCTGAGCCGATGAGATCTAGGGTGTCGAGGGGGAGGGAGTGTTTATTGCTGAAGAGGTGGATTGCTGTACTGAATAGATGGCCGATTTCTTGGTTGAGGGTTGGTGAGGTGAGGTTGGGTGGTGGGAGGTGGATGGTGTCGTACTTTTGAATATTAGCTTTACTTCCTTTTCATATGTCCCATCAAATTTTCCCTTCCTCCTTCATAAGATCCCGGCCAGGAAAGCTCTCACATACTCTCTCTCCCCCTTTCAACAAAATAATAAAAACCAACATACCCCCAAAACCTCAATCTCCACCACCCCCTCAGCATCCTCCTGCCTAAACCTACAAAGCACAAAATCCACATCTCTCATCTCCGACATATTCGTCCCTTCACAGACACCCAACACGAGTAGATCCAACGGCTTCTCTTTCCCTTTTCCATTATTTTCCCGCCCATTCCTCGCTCCATTCGTAGGTGGTAACAAACTAAGACCACCCAAACCTCCCTCACCATCCAACAAACTGGTAGTCGATGAGGACTCCCGTAATACCTTCGCTTGTAAGGCTTCGAGGTATTTAAAACCTACTTTGTGACGTACTCTTGTTTGAGGAGTGATTTTTGATCGTGAGGGGAGGGTATTCATCTTTCTCTACTCTTTTGCTTTGACTCTCGCTTCCTTTCTTTCGGACTCTTTCGTGCCTCAACTACTCCTCAGGTTGTTCCCGCTGGTATTCGTTTTTCAGCTCTTTGCTGCCAAAGAGATGGGGAAGGTTGGATGGATAAACAGATAGACAAACAGAGAAAAAAGAGGAATGGTCATCCACGACGAAGTTTCGGTGTAAAGAATCGCTGCTGTACCATTTCGTCTCCGTTTCCGCAATCGTCTCCGCTTTCCTCTCTCGTGTAACTCGTGAGGACTACTGGAAGGGAACAGAGTGTTAGGTTTTGTAGAAAATCACCCCCCTAGTCCTTCTAGACTGAGAGGTTGAGAGGTTAATCTTTTATAAGCCCCCTCTGTCGTCCTATGAAAAGTAACGCAATGAACAGTAAGATATTAGAAATAGCTCATACGAAAACTGCAGAGAGAAAATCAAAACAAATGAAAGAAAGAAAGCAAAAGAAAACCAAACTCAAGATCCCCACTCTGGCCAGTCAAGTCATCCCTAGTTACTCACCTACTCACCTACTCACTAACCCATACCCCACTGGCACCATCACTTTCACCTTACCACTAAGCAACTGACTGACCAAGTCAAACAACTCAAAAGGCACCCCGCTCCATCCACTCCAACCTCCCAAACCAAAGGATCCCTTTTCAAGTTAGTCCAGATCAACCCACTCTTTCCCCTTCCCTTCCCTTCCCCTCCCTTCCCCTCCCTTCCCCACAACCACCTCACATAACCCCGAACCCCAAAAACCCCAAACCACCTAACCCCTCCTAGTATACAACACCGTACCCCAGTGAAAGAATGAGTGAGCATATCCATACATATCCATACCCATCAAAACCCATTCCATCACATGTAAATATTCCCCATGGCCATGGGGTACACTTTTTTTTCTCGGTTAAGGAAGGGAACCCCTTTCCGTTTTGGGAGATTCCTTCCCTAGGACGACTAGGATTAGTAATACACACAGTATGTTCCTGGCGTTCAGAACAACCATACAAAGCCCAAATTCTTTTCTTGATGTAGTCTACTAGATATTATGATACAATGTAATGGAATACAATTCTCCTTGTATTACTATTTTCTACTTTATATATGCTGAAGTCTTGTGTTTATTTCAGGTCTTTTTTTGAGCTTATTTATTGTTGTGCTGGGTCTACTTTCTCTTTTGCTCCACTTCCTTATTTGATCCACTTATAGTTCTGCTGCCTAAATGCTTCATGTCTGCCTAAACCTTACACTCTTTATATAAACACCTTAGATAGCTACCTTTTACAATGCAATCAATTCTCCATGACCTTCAGTACCCAATACCCTTTCAACCCAATATTTATCTATTAATTTATTCCCTGGGTATCTAGAAACCAACCAACCATGCCAAAGCCGACTGTGTGTATAGTGTTGCCTATATATACCCTTTATGTCTCATCAAAATCTCATCAAAGCTCCAGAGCCCCATTGCCCCAAAGCCACCCAAAGCCCAATCCCACAACATCCTACGCTCTACTACGTCCTAACCACCCTCTCCCCAACAACATACCCCCTCGCAACACCCCTCCTCCCCTCCTCAATCAAACCCCCTTCTCCTTCCCTATCTCCATCCCCCCCCCCATCCACCCGCTCAAAATCACTCCCCAACCCCGTCCAAGTCCTCTGGCTCCTCAGAAACTCCGCACCAGGCGAGGCCGTACCGTTAATAGTCGCAACATCCAACTTCGCTCTCCTCGCTAGGGTCTGATTCCCCTCAGTGGAAGTATGAGGTCCCCCAGGGATATCTGTAGAAGGGGAGGCGCTAGTTGTGGATGTAGAAATAGATTTGGAAGCCTTCATAGGTCTCGAATTCGAGATATACCGACCAGTCCTGAAATCGTATACGGGTGGTTCGGACTCGTCTTCTTCATCTATCTCCCCACTTTCATCATTATCCTGAGCCAGGATCTCAGGTTCTCCACCATCTATCTCCGTCCGTTTTACTTCAATTTCTCTTTTCTTCTGCTCCTCTTCCTTCAAAACCGAGAAATCACCCCGCCACTCTCCACTCCAGACCCGCTCCTCATCCCCCATCAACGCAATCCCCAACTCAAAAGGCGTCACGACTGGTGCATAGAACTCATTCCCTTCCAACAGACTGCTCTCCCAGCAACCTAGTACCACCCATCCACCCACCTCTGAGAAATTGGCCATCTTGGCGGAATTCACTTTCCCTACGCAAAAGGTGTAGCTCTTCTTGCCGGCGTTGTGGATGAGGGATTTAAGAAGGGAGAGAGAGGGGAGGAGTGAGCTTAGGGAGAGCGTGTTTATTAGAATTCCTATTATGGGTGTGGTAGAGAGTTGAGTGAGGAGTGCGTAGCGACGGGAAAGAAGACGTGATGTTTGGGGTCGGATTGTGAGGTCGTTGTTTGTTGAGGATTTTTCGTTGGTGGGATAGATGAGGAGTTCTTTTATTCGGGAGGAGAGAGTTAGGAGGAGGGATGTGGGTGGTTGAGAGATATGCCAGATTTTCCAATCTTTCAGATTCTCATCTCCCTCTCCTTCTTCGCTTTCCCAGCTTATTTTGCGATTCGGTATTGGTGCTAGAGGATCATGAACGACTTCCGTTCCTCTAATATTCTTCCATCCCTTTTCTTGTAGCGAGTCGAGAAGCAGAGGGACGTGAGAATGATATGTCAAATCCGCCATCACAATAACCTTCTCCCCCTTCCCTGCTTTTGCCTCCTTCTCAAAATTCCGCTCAAAAGCCGTGAGAACCTCAGAGATCTCCAGAGGCATAGAAGTATACACATAAAGAACCGGTAATCTCGCCGTAGGCGAAAGACACGCCCGTCCATAATGTATGACTACCTCCGCATTCGTATGTTCAGCCGCGATCTCATCGACACAACAAGATCCATAAGAAGTGTCCGCCAATATCGCAAGTCGAATCTTTTCCCTGCTCCCTCTATCTCCCTTCCTAAAGCTTTCCACCTTCCCCTCCCCATTAATCTCCACCTCCCTCTCCTCTCCCTCCCCCTCCTTCTCATCACCACCAACCCTCCAACCCCCCATTTCCAACCGTCCAATCTCCTCCTCCAACCCCTCAAAAACCCCCGGCGCATCCCCTAACATCCCNCTCCTCTCCCTCCCCCTCCTTCTCATCACCACCAACCCTCCAACCCCCCATTTCCAACCGTCCAATCTCCTCCTCCAACCCCTCAAAAACCCCCGGCGCATCCCCTAACATCCCATCCGGAAGCTGCAACGCGACTCTCCTCCATCCACCTTTCACAATCTCCCTCGCCGTCCTCTCAACCTCGTATATCGTCCGGATCTCCTCTTTCGTATGTTTCTTCCGCGGAGTTAAGGAGATGGGTGTTGGGTCTTCGAAGAGGGTTGATTCTTGGGGCGTGGAGAGGATGGGTGGTGCGGATTGTTGGGTCATTTTGTGGTGTCTACTGATTGTTGGGTATAGGTATGGTGGGTGTGGTGCGAGGTGGTTCACGGATGTGTGATGAAGATGTGGGTTTATATGGATGTATGGATGTAATGTTTGTATCGAGAGAGTTGGGTTGTTGTGAGGATTATGTGGTGATGGCGGGGTCCTTGGATGATGAACTTTTTTTTTGGAGGGGTTGAATCGCCCAGCTCTTAGATGCTTGTACTCGTACTTAGGGAAATCTTCATCGGCGATTAGAAATCGCTGCACAATGATTTGGAGAGAGGATTCGGTACTGTATCTCCCAAATTAGAATGCAGTGAATTGCTTCGCTATAACTTTGTTTCATACTAGTTCTACTTGGATGTGTAGTGTACTCGCTAGTACACGAATACCTGCAGTAGCGTGTAGCAGAGCAGTCAGGTCCTGGAGGGTTTTAGGTTACCTAGCTCAGGTACATGTACATTTGACAGGTTATAAAGTATTTGATCGTTCGTTTTTAAATAGAAATCAACAGTGAGTATCATGGCATAGTCCCAAGTCCATTTTAGATCATTCATTATTCCATTATTTTCATCTGCTAGCTATAAAAGTACCACCAAGTAAACCTGGCAAGGTAGCGAAAGCAAGACTAATAAAAATTATCCATATCCATATCCCATCTGGTCTTTGAAAAGACAGTGCATTGCATTATTCCGTGGTATCTGTGTCCCATCCATTTAATTACAACATCTCGTAGCATCCATCCATCCATCCCTATCTAACCTATCCCAAATCCCCACCCCAAATCCCCACCCCAAATTATCATCAAGAAAAAGTATCTCATCAGTACATATTCGTATCATATCATCGTATCATGCGTCACACCGCTTTTCCGCATCTACACATATGCATGTCGTCTCCCCGAGTGGGAGCTGCGGTGACTACGGTGACTACCGCTTCTGCGGTGTCCATGACGCGAGTAATGAGTTTCTCGCACATAAACATCCTTCTCTCGTCTGCTAGTATGTCCACGACCCACAAACAGCGCAAGGAGACTGGTAATCGCAAAGAAGATGCAATTCATGATTCCAAAAGCCCAGCTTGCCTTCAACATCGCACATGTCTTATCCGTATTCACATTTATGCCCGAGAGACTGAAGCCAGAATCCCCAGCGGTGACGGAGAAGAATGGATTCGCGTTTCGCGAGACGGAGGTGCAGTCGTATTTGGCAATCATTCGTAGCTCGTAGACGGCTCCAATGAATGCGCCGACGAAACAGAGGTCGATGAAGGAGACGAAGAGGGCGTTGGATTTGGCGCGGTGATAGGTGAAGAGGGTTGCGATGGCCCAGACGGCACCCAGAACAGAAACGATGAAGAGGACGAGGATGTAGTTTGGTGTCAACATTGGTGGGTCGTTGCCTGCGTATAGATTGACAAACCAGGCTAGCATTCCGAGGGTTGGGATCTATGGAATATTAGGTGTCGTCGCAAACAGAATATGATGAAATAAAGCTTACCAGAGTGATAATCTCCATAAAGCGCCAAAAGGCGAAGAAGATTCCGAAAATCATGACGGTTGTTGTTGCTCAAAATTGCGATGCGATGCGATGAGGGTATTGATGAGACTTCGCTCAGTCGCAAAGATGTCTGAGTACGCAAGTATGCGACACAGGGTGTACGCCGACTTTATCCTCTGACGAAGGTGCAGGTGCCTAGGGGAATGCGCCCGAGGAAAGTATGCGCTCTGTGCAGATGCAGGTTTTCAGTCGTCAGAGTAAGCGTAGCTCGCAGAGGTCGAAGTGGTGAGCAGCTCGATCGCCTTTTGTTTGTTTTTGCGCAATGATGTTTCTTGCTGTAAGGGATCTCCCTTGTATCAGGAGTACTCGCAGGGGAAGCTCAATCGAGACGGTTTGCGCCGATGGGAAATGGGTGGTGAGCAGGGATTCTTCCTGGTTTGGGGATCCTCTTGACAGGCCTTTCTTGGAGTCTGGTTGGTAGGTTGACCAGACCGAGGCGAGGGTGACGTAGTTGAGGTAATACCCAAGAGGTGATGGAGGGAGAGAATAGATGGGTGAAGAAGAATTTAGAGGTGGAAGAATGGAAGAAGAGAGGAACTCTATTTGTCCGGCGATGCAGAGTTCCCACCGACTTTTACCTACGGAGTACATTTGCGGTGAATGAATTTAAATGGCTGGAGCCGTGCCATGTGTTTTCTGCAGTCTTTGGGCCTGCAATTGGAGGGGTTGGGTTGTCGCTAATAAAATGGAGGTGGTTGGGTGTGGGTCAGGAACAGCGAGAAATCCAGCTTGCCCTCGCCGGAACATGGTTTACCTTCCAACTAGATTTCGGCCCCTGATGACCGAATAGCTTTGCAAAGTTCATTGAAATTTACTTGGATCATGATAGAGAGAGAAGTTGTGTATAGACTCATTGTTTACCAAGGCTAAGGCACGTGACTCGTAAATAGCCGAGGTCCAGAAAAGATGGCAATGACCCTGTCTTGTATTAATTTCATGAAGTAAACACTCTTTGAACATTCACTCTTGTAGCTACCTATATTCGGTCATTTGTTCTTGTTATTCGAAAGAAGTGGAACATTTTCAGACCATGAATCAAGTTACAGTAACAAAAGATCGGTTTACTACTACTTCTGTCTGCAGGGTAACACCCAACAAATCTACAACCACATCTGGAAAGTCCAGAGCCTTGCAAGACCTTCATCTACAATCTCAAGTCACGAATCGGGTCTTTTCTATATTTTTCATAAAGCTATCTAACTGTCTTGTGGTCATAGGTGGCGGTCGACTCGGATCAAGGCCAATAAAATCAACTAAGCAAGAGAGGGTGCAAGAAATTGTAATATTCACTGGAAGTCGTATAGTATGTAATGTATACAGGATCATCCGCCGATTTCAGTATACACTATTGACAGATCATTGATCTATAAGGAAAGCTGGAGGCCTCCGGATCTCAGGTACGGATTTCTTGAACTGAGAAACGCGAGTTTATTTGGACCATAGGTATGTACACTATTTCTTTTGCTGTCTAATTTTTGAGGAAGGGGCAGACACAATGGCATTCCTCTACAGCGAGGTTATGCAAATGAGGTGATCAGGAAGGAGCGAGTTGCATGCATACTAAACGACACGGGCAGTCTTGGTGTAACCTACCCTCTCTTTTCCCGGACGACGTTTCCTTCCATCCTAGAATCCCATTTCCTCTTCTCAACTCTGTCAATTGTTTATTGGCGAGACTACGTAAAAGCAAACATGTTGCCGATTGTTCGTTGCTTCGAGCAATACGCCTGATGCGATATTATTTTCATCAAGGCCGCTGAGAGGTTCGGAGAAACAGTCAGCTGCAGCATTCGTGAAGAACGAAAAAGCTTAACGAGGCTGAGTTCTTGCTGCGGAAAGCGAAGACTCTTTTCCTCTTCATCTTTCTCCTACTCATCCATTCTTCTCCTTCGATTGCATCCATCCGGTCATTATCTCACAATCAAGATATCGAATTGCGATTGTATATCTTCTCTCTTTTCTACGCTCGGACATGGAGGGCCTCGGTGCGGCTGCCAGTATTATTGCTGTTGCCTCGATTGCGATCCAAATTGGTGATAGCGTCCTCAAGCTCAAGAGGTTTGTAGATGATATCAAGGATGCGCCAGAAGAGATCAAAATGCTCACCGACGAAACCAAGACCCTCGGGTTGATCTTGTCTGTGTGTCTCAATTTCCTTTCTTCTTACTGAATGCCGGAATAACATCATAATCTGACTTTGATCTAATTCAGACCATCCTACCTCCTGATACAGCAAGCCATGCTTTCCAAGCGACCAGCGCTTTAGCAACTCAATGCCTTGACTCATGCCGTGAGGCTGCAAATAACCTCGAGAAAGCCGTTACTGAGCTACATGTCGAAATAAAGAGCCCCGAAAGTTTAGGGGAGGCTTCAAGGCTACCCTTAAGAAAGGGACTATTTATAAGTTGAAGGAACGACTCTCTAGGGCTCAAATGATGCTCCTTCTGTCACAAACTTTACATTCACGGTACTCAATTGTCCAGATGTCTTATCATTTAGCAAGCTACTGGCTAATTGGTCGGGCATAGAATGTTGCAGGAGCATCAGTATAACATCCAGCAGCATCAGTACAGCGTCCAGCAGCAGTGGTTTGTGAAGATTCAAGCTCAAACTTCCCCAGATACAGTTGTGCAGTCACATCGACTACTGCCAGCAGGATCGGTAAGCACTGAACTTCAGGTATCATGCTCAAATGTTGACCACGAATCGCGAACAATCGAAAACAAACCCAGCCGAACTAGACAAGCCCGCCGACGAGAACATAAATCTACCATACGACTTCAGGGTCCGCGTTGGTTTTTCTAACGAGCCGTGCTCTAGAAATTACCGGACACAGATCCCCCGCTGGATGGGACTTTTCAACGAGAATGGATATTATTATTCCAAGGAATTCTCCCGTCTTTGAATTACCCGAAGAAGGAGACCTCTTGGGGTTACAAAAAAGATGTTCGAGCAGAAAGAGGCCAGCCCTTTTATAATCGATCAATATGGCAATACTCTTCTCACGGTAAGCACTGTAATTCTATTCTCCATAAATAATCACTTTCGATCACCTCAGCACCTGCCATGACCCGACTTAATATAAATGTTTAATTCCATTCTTTGGTAATTGATCATTCATTTGTCGATGTGTAAAGGTATCTCCATTTACAGTAAAACAAACTGACGCATCTAAGGCTGCGGCCTGGGGAAATCACTCAGATGTTGGCAAGTTTTTATTAGAACAAGGCGTCTGTGACAGCCCTTCAAATGAATTATTGTAACATTTTATTACAGTCACATATAAACAAAGACTAAAAGTTTATAGCAACGCCTTCGCGGGGTTTTCGATCCATGAGAACAAGGAAATGATAAAACTCCTCGTCCCAGCCGCAGATTGGAGCGAATTAAGTAACGCAACCAGGGCGGGAAGGTTGTGGTATTTTCTCTCATTTTACTCGCTGAACGAACCTGAAACACTTTCCTTTATTCATAATAAATATGAGGTCTCATTTCCAGAGTTGAGCTCAGCGGAGATACTTGTAGGCCTGAATTATGTCGACGATACGAGGATTAAGCTCCATCTACTACAATTCATTTTGTTTGGTAGAAATATTGATTCAGTTCTCTGTCGGAATGAAGTGGAAACTAAATATTATGGTAGCTTCAATCTTCTTCGCCTATTCGCAATTGCGTTGAGGAATTCGTTTTCAAAATATACTATCAGGGGAGTGGACACCGAAGAGGCGCTGCCAATTTTACAGCAATTGATTCGTGGTGGCTCAAACCTCCATACCACGATAGCAAGGTGGGAGCGTTGTCTAGATTGCGGTGCTTGTCATTCCGCGAGTACCACGTCATTTGGCGGCATGTTTACTGGATGGAATAAAAGAGTGAAAACCTCAAGAATAAAGAACCTTGTTCGATACTGGCTTCGTGCACTTCAGGATTCAGGAGTTGATTTGCACGAATATGGTCGACGAAAGAAAGAAATTAGCAATGGCGGAAGCTCACTTAATGTTCATTGGCACGCTCATCAGGGCAAAAGATATCGTCTGATGAGCTTCACATTTGGTCCAGCGCCAGAAGATTGGGAGCTGTTTTATACCGAGGACAATATCTCTACGGAAGTGTTGGAATTTTGGGATATGGTAGATCATCCGGAGCGAGCTTTATCTGGAGCCTGGGTCGAGGATCTTTTTGAGCCCAACAGCGAAACTACTTGTGCCGATATATGGGATAACTTCATCTGGCCCTAACAGCCTCAACCCTTCCAAAACACACCACCAATACCCCAACACCTCTCTCCTATTCTCTCCTCTCGGAGTTTTTGGCAACTACTTCTCTATCTCCTCATTCACTCAGCTGTCCTTATCAAATATTTCTCTTTAGATGATTCACCTCTTGATCGATGAATATTAAGATATGATCTACGTTCTATCTTGGTCGTTGGTATGTTCTTCTTTCTTTACTTCCTCCCTACTCCTTCTCTCCTCTTTATATGTGAGAGGTGTGGTTGGGACTGACTGTTTTTGTGCGGATAGGGGGTTTCTTGGATTAGTGGTGTAGTGAGAGTAGAGTTTAGGGGTTTGAGGTTAGGTTTGATGGACCCTAAAAGAGAATTTGGAGGGGATTGGTAGGTGGGTTTAGGGTTTGTAGTGTAGGGTAAGGGACGGTGTAGTATGGAAGGGGGTTTAGTTTAGTGTGGGTTAAGCGAGGGGGAGTTAATGGAGTTTATTGGTTGTGCTTTTACTAGAATAAAGTCATTTGGAGCTTAAGAATCTTGGGAGCTTTATCGCCGTTAGTGGAAGATCTGTAAGAAAGTTGATTTTAGGGAGGGGCTAAGTAAAGGAGTGGTTTGTCTAACTAGTTAGTTTTAAGCGAGGAGGATAGTTGTTTAAGTGATTTACTAGGCCCCTCTCTGCTACCTTTCTTCTTTTTTTCTTGGATTTTTTTCTCGCCTTGTAAAATAGCGAAGGCTTCTTATTATAGGCAAATATATCTAGCTTATTTTGTAGATATCTCCTAGACCTCGCATATCTATATCCAGAATTTCAAGTTTACGATCTCCTTTTTAAACGGCCGAACCGGGTAGTAATAATAATTAGGCGCGCTACGGAGCTTGGTCCGACGTTCTCCGTACTACGTATGTAGCTAGTCCTGTATTTAAGTAAGAGACGTGGTCGTTACTCTTTATACACCTCTCTTAGAATAAAATTATTTTAAAAAGGTCGTACAATTAAATTAATTTTATAAAGAGCTTTGAATAATCGTTACCCGTTACTTTGTATTAGTCTAGGTATACTATTATTATTGTCTTAATTGTACTAGAAGGTTAGTACAATAATATTGTATAGTATGTATAGAGTAACGACCAAATATCTTACTAAGACGTGAAGGTAAAGTAGGTTTCGCTATCTTAAGAATCTAGATTTATAGTATATACCCCATGTCTAGGAGATAGCTGGTTATTAATCTAGAAAACAAATTATTATTTCTAAATCCATTTCGTACTAAGCGGATTTTTATATTCAAATCTACAACGCTCGGCATCTGGAATTCCTTTCTATGCCAGGACCCCCCTCTAGATTAATTCCATTCCATTTAAAGAGTCGCTAGAATTATTTTATTCTATACCCCCATATTCTATGAAATATATGGAAATTCTAGATAGAACCTGTCACATGGCCCGAAAAAAGTCCTCCTAGTCCAGTAGACTAATAGGAAGCCCCTATTTGGCCTTACGGAGGTATAGTCCCTAGGTAGGTACGATACGTGCGTTGGGGGAATGTCACGTGAAGTCCCCACCTCCACCCCCCCTGCGCCCCAACACCACCTACTACCCAGGTCGGATAGGTAGGTACTCTACAAGTTCTAGAGTACGAAGATGGCAATACAGAGAATGTTCCTGTTATCTACTCCTTCTATAGTCTATTACAAAAGAACCTGCTAGGTACTATGTAGTATTCCTATTCACCTTTTACTAAAAACCACCATTGAAACCACCCTTTTGTTTAGTCAGAAAACCCTCTGGAATTCCAAGTAACTCCTGAAATTCTAGACGCTAATCGATAAAAGTATTCCATATGGAATATTCCACCTGCCACCTGGAATTCCATGGAATATGGTTCCATCTGCCGACCGCCTATACTAATTATAATTGCTCTTATTGGTTTAACTTATCGTTAGTAAAGGATGATACAAAAGACCTATACAATATTACTAAGGGTAATAACTAAGTCTAAGGTTATATACTAAAGTAAGTGTAGCTACGCTCGGAGCTAGCTGATAATCATTCACTATTATAAACCGACAGTTTTACTATACGCTATTTTTTTATATCGGGGAATCTAGGCTAACGATTCTAGGTGTTTTGGGATCTCACGTGCCTAATGCTTCCTGAATATATAGACTATAAGCTTTTATATTTGAGGTTACATATTTTTGGATTTATATAGTGTTTGTATGCACAATTTATATTTCGAGAACTCGAGGATGGGATGTGTGTTCAGAATGAAATTGAAGTCACGCTTTTTTCAAGCTTATATAATGACATAAATGTCAACCGCTGCTCATCTCTGAATTTAAGGCTGTAGGCAACACCGTTTTCCGGGTCATCAATCTACCACACAAGAGGTCCCTTACAACGCCACAGAAAAAGAAACCTTCGCGTAAATCCTCGAAGCGAGCAGCAAGCGATGAGGTCCAATACCCGAGTGGTTGGTCAGAGTGGGAGAGGCATGACGACGACCAGACGTTCGGGAGTCTTCGCCTTACTGCGCCTGGTATAAAACCCATCCCTAACCTCCAGTGATTCAGCACTATGGCTAATATTAATGTTCAGGGCAATATGAATGGAGATACAGTGAGCCGATGCCGGTGGACCATAATTCAAGCGACCTTGTCGGAGGTAATTCGCCTATCCCATCGAATTCCACGAGCGACGAAGCCGGAAATTTGAGATACGAATAAGGGAAGACTAAGCCCCCTCATAACCTATAAGATCTATTATCCAGTCTGCCTAATCTGTAATTAAGTGACGAAAAAGAGGAAAATAGCCCGCGCTATAGTAAGTGGTTCTATTTTTTAATACCTTTCCTAATAATTTATAAATTTATTTATTTATTTCTATTTAACGTCTGGCGGAAACTAATACTTAAAGGCTAGCTCCTAGTAGGATTCCCTTAAGGGATAAAGGACGCTAGGGGGGTACCCTAGGCTATATAGTGGGCGTAAATAGGGAGACTAAATGTAAGGATAAGGTTGAAGAGAAACTCTACTTCTAAAGAGACCTTTATATATTAATAGAAGAGTTATCGGGTAGGGTAAAGGAAAAAGGGAAAAAGAGAAAAAGGAAAGAGATAGGTATAGTTACTATTAAAGCTTTAGTAGATAAGTCTAGTAAAAAGTAGGTAGATTTTATAGTAGAAGTTAGTTTTTAATAAGAGCTTATAAAAGAGCTCCTTAGGCTTAGGACCGAAAAGAAGAGTATGATTTCGCTTAGCCTTTATAACTAGGGCTAAGGCTCTTTACTTTATATATTAATAGTAGAAGAGGGAAGAATACTTTTTTGCTAAGGTTAGAGAAGACTATAGCAAACTCCGAGGTAACATTAGGCGATGGCTCTCAATATGGAAGTTGAAATGTTGTGACTTTGTTGAGGTATATCAAAGACCCACTCTGCGTGCACATGTATGGTTACTGAAAGCTCTACAGTTCAAAAAGAAACAATCCAATCGAGTTTTTTTCCACAAGGAAGGTCTTCCAGATAAGGAAGAACCATATGACTACAAATCACAACCACCCGATACCGAAATCCCACCCATCAACCCTCACGAATTCGAATATGCACTTCTTCCACAGTGTAGCCAGAGTTGTTTTCTGTCTGGGTTTCACGACTGTGTGGAGCAAAGTAAAGGATACAAATCGCTCGAACGGATCCCGAAACGGAGATCTGCGTTACTTGTTGGAGTCGACGAGGAGGAAAAGGGATGGGGGATACAAGCTCATTATACACCTCATTTTTGACTGTACTCTTCTATCATATTCTGATGCTTGCTGGCTCTTTTGCATTCTGGGGTTGGTGGCAGATTGGGCATCCTGATGACCTTCAGAATGCTTCAGTCCCCCTAACTGCGACTACATCTTTGGTGGCTATATTCTGGAGTTGTTTCATATTTATGGAGAAGGCTTCTAAAAGTTGACCTGGTTGTAGGGATATAGTATGTGGTTTTTGTAGTGCTAAATGCTTATTCTTAATGGTTGCATGAACAGCGTATACTCACTTAATTTTCCTACTGCTCTTCTTCTCTGCAATTGATTGCTGTATATCATTAGGATATCCCCAATTAAAAGGCAATCATCACTCAAGAACGAATGATGGGATGAAGATAGGGAGTGAAAACAGAATAGCTGTGGCTCAGCATTGTGGCTGATCACTGCTTAGAGAAATTAGTAAAAGTAGGGGAGTCTTAATACTACTTGCTGAGATCCAGGATTATCTCAATTAACGAAATTGTATATCAGCGGACGTCTACACTATTTCATGCCATAGGGGGCACAGAAGTTCCGCCTGTTGATATCAATCCTCGAAGAAAGCCTCTCAATGTACGTTATTGAGTAATACGGGACTTAGAAATTGAAGTCTTCTACTGTATCAAGTTTGCGGTAGAAGTACAGTACATGAGACGAAGCAGAATTTAAATTTCTGTTTCTTGGACATTATTCATATTTATCCCCTCACCCTTCCCAGCACTGCGCAGACTACGCAGAAAAGGTGGAGCCAATCTCTCCCCACTTGACCTCATTGAAAACCACAGCAGGGTTTGGTTCTATTTGAACAATCACCTCTGGATTTCCCTCAGTTGCATTACAAGGCCCGACGTCCCCACTGTTAAGCCAGTTCATAAATCCACCAATATCCCACCAAATGCTAAATGCAAGAACCATCCCTCGACTGAGCGCTTCACCCATAACAGGCATCCCACCAAGTGGAATAAAAGTTCCTCCTCCTGGTCGGGAACAATATTCAGTGTTGAGCTCGTCAAATGGCGCAATCCCATTGATGTTTACTGCTGCGTTGTTGATGACCTTTCCATCTTGAATATAGAGCCTTCGAATGGCTGTCAATGTTCCTGATGCATCGGCTGGAAATTGTGTTACGACGGTGAAAGGTCGAGTGGTATCCACAGTGAATTTTAGGCCGTAATATTCTTTGTTGCCAAGAGCGTAAGGGTTATAGGAGCATCCCCATTCATCACATACACCGTCAAATTCACATTCTGGTCCAGTGCATCTGTATAAACCGGGTTTGCTACAGGTATGTGGAGCGATCGAGTTGGCTCTCTATAATCATTTTAGAAGCGAGCAAAGATATTGGGGATGAGGTTGATTACCGAGTTTGCTTCCCAGATATCCATTTCGTTACAACAGGACCCGTGAGCGGGAATATTTGCCTATTACAATTAGTTAAATAATGTTATTTGTATGCGAAAGAGGAGTAATAACCTCGCCATTGATGAATGGAAGAGTATAGCACTGGGCATCGCAGTAACCAGAGCCAATTGCAGCGCCAGCAGTATTTATTTCAGATTTCCACCATCCGCTTCCTGTGAAATACCACAAAGTCAGTCCCCATATCTCAGTTGGTACTCAGAGCTTCATGAAAGAAAACCGTATTAACGAGAAAACGTTTTCGAGCTACCATGAAGGGGAAGGTGAAAAAGGGAAAGGAAGCAATTTACCATCTCGACCAGGTATAAAACTCCATTCATACCACAAGGAAGCTTGGTAACATCCACATTGAACGCAAATTCTCTTCCGGTCAGGCTCAACATTTCGTAATTTTCACCTGCTTCATCTAAGAGATAAACACGTGGTGAAACATTCTTTTCACCCTCAATTTGATTCATCAACAACGAGCTACCATTTGTCCGAACTCCGAACTTGGAGTAATCCGGAATTCCATCGACAATACAATTTTGAGCACAAGTCTTCTCGTCAGGACAAACGGTACTGTTTGGACCGTTCCCAAACACCCCGCAATCCAAAGTTGGATTGTCTTTTTGATAGAGAGGATGAGCCAATTGATCAAGAACGATTTGAGAGATTTTCGATACGCATCCACCGGCTAACGTGCATTCCCATGTTTGTAATGTGGGATGTACCTCTGGAACCGTGCTGAGGGTTTGAGCAGTTGTCAAAGTGAAAAGGAACGACGAGAGGAAAACAATCGAGGAAGCCATGATTGAAAGAGAGGAGTAGAAGAAAAACAGTCTCAAAGGGGGGGGGGTCAATGGAAGTCGAGGTTTTATATCCCTGTGAACTACATCGTCCAAGACGGACTTCCCAGTGGGAGCAGGTATGGACCCCCGGGAGTCCATGACCCTGGGGTCCATGACGGGGGTCAAAATTATTGCCGATTTTTCTACTTCGAAGTATGTCAAATATACGTCCCCCTTCTATAATTCTCTGTCTACAAGCCGCTTCCGCCCCTCCTCTGCCTGTCGCTTTACGCAGAGGAGGGGCAGAACCGGCTATTACTACTACGAATATTTATGTACTTACCTAGAGGGGCCTACAGGGCCTACAGGGGATATAGTGGGTATAGGGGGTATATGTAGAAGAAATAGGACTTACGGGTAGAGGAAGAGAGAGTAGGGGGATAGTACCGGGACAGGAGGGAGGGATAGCCTTACAGAGACAGATGCACGACCGACCGACCGACAGATAAACAGATACAAGTAGATAGATAGACATATACTGTCAAAACTCGAGAGAGAGGTCCAAAGTGTCGCCGGGGGGGTGTCAGGGGGACTTTCGGCCTTGGCCACACCAAAACTGTCCTCGGAGAGGCCTTGCTACTCCTCGTCAAGTGGCTTAGTAAGTACGTCAGTACTCGGAGTACACTCAAATGGGATGTAAAAATGGATCTTAAAGAGATCTAGTATTAAGTCGGGGCCCTTGTATGGCACTTGCGGCATGATTCTTGCGGTGATTAGCACTACCCCTGGCGACACTTTGGACCTCTCTCTCGAGTTTTGACGGTAGCTGTTGCATACAGTTACGCTAGGTAGTTAGCTTTAAGCGCTAGTAAAAGCATCCTACTTCGTAAGTAGGTTCCCGACAGTCGGACTATGCCCTATAGCGCGCCTAGGTATTATTCTAACCAGTCCGACTAAGCGAGAAAGTTAAAAATTCGACTTTTTTTCGTACAATAAAGGGAGCTCGAGAGAGGGATTTTTAAGGGATTACTAGAATAAAATTGTTTATAGCTAACGCTATAGTACTAGAAACAGTTTAATATTTTAAGGGTAACTTATATATAATTAGGTATTCTTGAAGTTCCTACTAAAAGTACGGGAGTCTATAACGTATTGGACCCCCGGGTCATGGGTTATGGACTCCCGTGCTCCCATTGGGCTTATCTCTTACCCATGCTAGTATGATACTACGATATCTTCCTGAACAGTTCTTAGAAGTTGAAGACCTTGCGGCCCGCTCTGCCTGGCTCGTGTCGTGAGAATTTAAGGATCTACCACTGAGTCGGAAGTACGGAATCAAGTAGATAAAGGCTAAAAGATGGGGTATGGGCCATTGATTGTTAATCTTACAGGGATCTGGCGATGCGGCAGGCGGAAAAATGTATTATCCAGAGTGTGCATGGCGAGAACTGAAAGTTAGCCCGAGGAGGATTATCTTCCTCTTTTCAGGCTGAAAATTTCAGCCCACATCTTGCTTACAGTAGAGCAAAAACATATTCATAGTTAGGCAATCCATAGCTCGTATATGAAGAACAAAGCGTGATCTAGAAAGTTTCGCTGCTTTTAAACCTCTAATAATCCTGATATCGTAGTATTAGACTGCTGTGCTTTATTTTCGTATCTCGAATCATACATTCAGGTGTTACTAGCTACCGTGACCAGAAATGAAATATGTATTGTCACGCCAAGATAGTTTGTGGCTCATTGAGTCATTGCTGGATTTTCACTTGGCAGCGTTAATTCCTCTTCCTCTTCCTTGGTTGCTTTTCACGGGAATATCTGATTCTGCTTGTTAGGATTTGTTATATATCTTAGGGACTGTTTTTCCACGGTTTTGAGCCTCGATATCCAGTGGGGGGGGAGCGGGGGGGGGCGGGAATCTTTAGACGTGCTTACAAAGTTTACAAGATAAATCTACAGGACCGTGGGTCAAAAGAATTAGGCAGCTACTTCGTCCCAGGCGAAATAATGTAACCTTTTTAGGGATTTTTGTACTGTTGCTCATCTTAGCAATCCTATTACTCGAATAGGTGGATTTTGTTGCCGATTTTTATTATTATAATCAAACTTTATTAGCGTCGCATATAACTTGCATATAACTTGTGGAGGGATTTTGAATGCGCGATTTTAGTGACGGATTATCGTGAATTAAGGTATAGGATTTGTATCAAACAATTGACATCGTCCGAGTCAGGCAGCCTATTGGCGGGTATAAGTAGAGGACGTGGGGAAGTCTGAATAGCTTCAAATATTATATAGAACCAGACTCAATTGAGCACTAAATTATAGGACAACTCGCGACATAAGCGTAGTTAGTAATAACTCACACGGTACCCTTCTAGCTCCACAAGTTATCTTTATACCTTTAGCACAGTCGTTGCACAGCTTTTGTGCACCTCTTGGAATAAACTTAGCCACTAAATTATGAATCAAAATCGGCGACAAAATCTGCCCATTAAACGTATATACCTTTCGCCAGTGACGGAGGGGAAATAATTCGTTATGTTGCTCTGACGCTCTGAGTAAGATATCCTTTTTTCTATGAAATTGTAATCTGGATTTTCTGCCTGGGCATTCTAAGCACTGTACTCGTAATTTACGTGGGCATTTCCTGGAAGAATCAAAATTCATCCATAAGTGGACCAAAAGAACTTGAAATTACCGTACAATATTGAGGCGAAAAGTCCTTAGAACATGTATAGGATCATTTGAATCCTTCAAAATTTTGACGATTCTATCAAGTCGTTACCATGCCCGCCAGAAGGTTCTCCGTAGCCAGAATGGTTCCCTGCAACCAACCTAGCCAAAAACAAGAATCCAACGTCATGTATTTCTTAAGCAATAATTATTTGCAACAGCAACACTAAATGTAACTGAAACCCAGATCGCTCAAGATAGCACACAAACCTAGACAGGATTCTTCCACTTGCCCTGTAGAAAAGATACTCGTCTGCTCATGCTCCCCATCGTGATAGTGGGTAGGTAATTGGCTTGATCGAATCATGTGCAAAATCATAACTGTAAGAGTACCACTCAGTTTGAATTTGCAGGGATTCCTTGGGTATCTGTCAAGAAGTGACACTGAGGTAAATAAGTACATAAGCGAGGACTTCCCTGACTCAAAATCCTGCTCAACATCTCCGATACCTATGATTCAAGGAACATGATATAACTGCTCAATCTGTCTTCTCCACGTCTCTCTGTCGATGACCTTAACTAGAGCTAACCTATTCTCCAAGGATGATCGCTCTTCCTCACTCAAATTCCATGAACAACACGCTATATCCGCAAGCTTTTGATACAGCCCATCTAAGTAAATCGGTGTACCACTCCAACTTTTCTTCACTGCTACCCAGTTGTAAAATCTTTCTTGGGCCTTTTTTCCTTCAATTACACCTAACTGCTTCTCTGGCGAGTTCACAGGGTATCGCAGATAGAAAAAACATACGAGATAGCCTCTTATGATATTGAGTCGAGTGCTATCGCATTCTTCAGTCATTTTGATTAATCTTTCTGCTTCTTTCAAATCACCCTCTCTTAAAGCTTCCATGGCTCTTATAAGCATATTCTCAATAACCAACCATCTTTCCATTTGCTCCTTATCCCATTCCTCTTCTCGCTGTATTCGCAGTGCCGTAACAACGGCATTTTGTTTCACTCGTCGTTGCTGTTCATATAGCCAATATTTTACTTCATTCATCTCCAAAGGAGGTGGAGGGAGCAGCATCGGTGATTCAGAAGAATGAGGGTGTTTTCCATCTCCAACATAAACGCCATAATCTGGGCCCATGATCTTTATAGGTGTCCTCCATGGCCCTTGGGGCCATGCAAGTCCTAATAGTTTCGGAATGCGTAAAGCGTCGCGTCCAAGTGCTTGAACATAACTATCCCAAAATTCAGTATGGTAAATATTCTCATAATAAGCGTGCACAATCGGCCAGAGTCGCACTCTGGCGTCGTCAACGAAAAGTGTCTGTGGATTCCGTTTTTTAACCGCCCATTGACGGGACATTGAATACCATCCCCAATTTGACCATGAACTCACCCATATTCCTAAAACTCTTCGATCCAAGGCATCATATGGGACTTTAGCGGCACGCTGAATGTTTTGCGAAGGCCCCCCTTCGAACACTGATTCATGAACTGTGCCCGTGGAACCACCAAATGCCTGGATAAGCAGCTTTATTAGTATTTCTTAGAATGGGGGATCTTGGATATGATACTGACCATATTTTCCCATGAATTTCCCACTTCACTAATCTGCTCGTCTTCGTAAAACTAAGTTTAGTATTTGCATTAGTAAACAGAATCTCGGATATCAATGGCACATGTATTCACCGGTTCAGGTTCCGTTTTGGATGCTGACCGTAGTTGTAAAGATAATGGAATTAGTGGCCTAATGTCTCGCCGTCGATTCAAGAATATCGGTTCATTCACGAGAACATGCTATCTTAAATTAGGCCTACCAAAAACAAATATTTCAGGGTGGTTTTACCATAGTTTCATGAAGAAGCTGTATGCATCTCATTAGCCGCGACTTGACTTGTAAATCATGAAGCCACACATACTGTTCTTGCGATAGAGAAGCTCTCAACAAGTCTCTCCGACTCTGAGAGGTCTCCTTTCACCAGTGGAAATACCAATTCAATATTTATCTCTACATTGCACACCAACGGAGATAAACGAGTGACAGTCTTCCCAGCAGCCCGGCTGTATGTAGTATCAAATCCAAATTTTACGCGAGGTATCATTTCTTCAATAGTTTCGTTGAGTTCCCTCTGAACTGGTTCTTGGCTAGTAAAGTCTCTTCGTGCGAACCATTGATAAGCTCCATACTTTTGCAGAGTTGCATTTGGAAGATCCGAGACATCGAGTGTGTCACCGTTGATAAACAGCCAAGTACCATTGAATAGACCGTCTAACCTAAATTATATTAATCAAGACTTCATAAATGGGAAATGGTATATTACCAGGGGAAAAGATGCATATTCATTAGAAACTTGCTAGCCAACCTCAATACGGGCTCCAGAGCATTCCACACCCTTGGATTGTCAACATCCCAATACTCTTCAATCCCATTTCCAATACAAATCGGAGGTAATTGACGTTTCCACTGACTCTTTCGAAAGAAAGGATTTATTGGATTTGTTAAATCAGTTGGCTTTGCGTTGAGATTTCCGAAGGCTCCCATATCTTCCAACTCGTTGATTGGGAATCCGTAAAGCCATTATTTTCGATGTTCTCGGATTTGAGCCGCGGCTATAGCTTCATCGTTTGAAATGAAGCCATTTCCAACTCGATTGGGTTCAGGGGCTCTAGCTGCTGTGTGTCGGAGACTCTTGCCAGCCAATGGATGGTTGGGATCGAGTGGGGGATTCGCGGGCTGTTCATACAATGGAACCGAATATTTGGATACGTACGAACCTGCAGATGAATGCGAATCTGGTGTTTTTGACCTAGGTGTGTTTGAACCCTGTGGACTTGCCTGTGGTGGTCCCAGCGGTCCTCTTGCGTCTGCCATTGTAAAGTCGGACATTTTTAGTGCCCAAGACGCACAAGGGCGAGCAACCGGAAATCTCAATCTGAGACTGAAGTGTGAGTCTTAGTTAAAAATGTCTTGAGGAGATTCCCCCTTTCTAGTTATTGTGAAAGAATAATGACCAAGGTACGGACCCATTTTGTAAACAAAGAAACACCACACCCGAAAGCAGGAGAGCATCAGACAAAAAACTGAGTAATCGAAACAATAGAACGCCACATTGTCAACAATCCACAAAAACATGATTGGTTTCTCAAATGTGAATTCAGTTTACCCTAATAATTGATTGTGAATTGAATCATCTCGTAAGGGACGTAGACAGTACTCTCTATACACCTAGCTTAGAATAATATCATCCTAAAGGTCTTGTACAAATAAACTGGTAAGATGTGTGTTTTAGGGGTAATATTACGCTTTTCTTTTCACTGACCTATGAATGTTACAACGTTTCATTTACTTGTGTTAGACGTTTTATAAAATAACTTTTTATAGAGCCTACAGAGTATTGCCTAGATCCTTTACGGGTCAAGAAATCAGACAGTAGTGTTTCACGGTAAATACGCTTATAAATAATCTGCGCAAAGCACTAATATCTCATATCACTTAGGAAGTTTCTTTTGATAGGTATTTCATCAGTCTCACAACTTCTATAATTTATGTGTACTCAAGTATGTACAAGGTAAATTCATCAATCGGGTTAAAGCCTGCGGGTCATTAATTGCCACGGATGGATATGGTCTAGCCAGAAGAAGACGAGGATTTCATCTCATAATTGGGGAGATTATTGAGTAGCAAGGTAGAGAGTCATCTAAAAGTGTCGTGTGATCTAGGTACGATGGCAACAAATATTGTATGGTTGAGAGTAGTACACTTTAGGCGCTGGGCCAAATCTGTGGATTTTGGGTGATCTGAGTTTGGACTGTGGATGATGATGTTGTGGAGTCCGTTATCGTGACACTACGGATTGCCGCATTTTCAATAGGAGCCGTAGGTGTTGCTGGTGCTGTTGGTAGCAAGAAGGCTCCGTTTCGTATTGGTGTTTCAGCTACAATTTCTTTGACCATCTCTGCTAGACTTCCCGCCAATCCTTTAACCTGTGATTGTAGACTGTAATCGAATGTCTCCAAAAATTCGTTGTTGAGTGCCTTCTTTACGTAGGGGCAAGGTAAGTGAAATAGTTGGCGCCAGATCAACACAAATTTCATGTAATCGATTAGCTCTGGACGCAGTTGGCTGGTTGTATCTTCCAAGTAATGTTTGATGTTGAGCACTTTAGAGTACTTTGCTTTTGTGGCCTTATGTAGGGGTTCTTCGCTAGGACTTGTTGCCTCCTGCACCAGCTTATGAATGAACTTTTGACGCATCTCATTGAGATACCGTCCGCTGTTGGTGGTCATGGTAACAGATATTCAGTGTTGATGACGGTAACGTTCCGATCTGGTTGGTTTGGTGAGAGATGGTAAACAAAGTTTGTTGGTTGTTTGTCTGTAAAAACTCAGGTAAACATTGGCTGCAAAAGCAGCACCCAATTTCAAGCGACGGAATATCAGTTTCCAGTGCCGCTTATTTAACAATTTCCTTCGCGCTAGACTTAGCGCGATCTGGGAGAAGCCCTATGACGACTCGCTTCCTGTCACATCGCAAAAGATAGTAAGACTCAAGAATAGGGATTTCTTGAATTATATTTCACAGTGATGCCCCCACATCACCCTCTGTTAGACCTGCTATATATAGAAAACTTGATTAAGGATTCATCTGCCTCTCTTGTTCCGCACATCTGAAATACAGCATCCAGGGTCTCAAGGCAACAATTTTGGATATATTCAGCGCGCAACCGGATGACAAGAAATCTGGCGCATCCAGAGTCCGATCCCTCGATGAGATTGAACGAAGAGGTTGCGGATAAAAATTTCGAGGAAGCTTTTCCCTGCTGCTCATTTTATAGAAAAGCATTTGTCGGGTTTTTAGAGTTACATTTGTCTCGATGCTTTTAGGCAGTTTCCTACTACTCTTACCCCTTTGAGCGCTTGATTTGATAGAGCTTTTGATTTCATCGAAAGGGCTGGTATTATGAATCAATGTGGATTACTTTGAGGCAACAGCTACGAGTAGCTACATTCCCTGGCGCTGTCAAGTGTCTCTTTGGAGAGTCACGTGCCATGTCCCCCTTTTCCAAAAATACTCATAACCTGAAGTAATGATTTTCTCCGCATTAAGAATGAAAGGTTTATTTGCTAAGAAGGCCAGAGAATCTAAATGTAAGCGATCAATTCAATCTTCTGCATCTTACGCCAACCAGAATTCTACACAATAATCCAGCAATCCCATCCTGCCTAAAACCAGTCCCATCAAGACTTGGAATCGGTGAGCAGCTCAAGTAGCACAAACATTTCACATGACCCCTCCAATTAAAGGAATTCTAATTTTCATCCCAAACGTCATCCGCATCCTCCATAGGTGCGATTCCAACCCCCGTCACCCCGCATGTGTGGCGCAACCAATATAGTAAGCTAGCCCACCAACCAAAGAATTTCATCCCCCAATATTCTACAATATTATGACGCCATGTGTCTTGGCATGTTTTGTGCGATTCGTTCTGAACGGAATCGGATATATAAAAGTGGATGGGAAAGACAGGATGCAAAGCCAAGGAAATCTGTTTACTTTATTTACCGTATCCACCGATACCTAATATTTACCAAAACACGAAGGAAAACAAAAATGGTATGGTCAAGGATGTTTAAAAAGTGAATATTTCTTTACTAACGACGCTTTATCAAGATTCAATACCCCATCGAAGCTCAACCTCAACCTAATGTAAGTTCATACTCTTCACTAACCCACGAACCCCAAACGTTTAAACTGACAATGTACCAGTTTCCCGCACCTCAATATAAACATGGTCATTCCCATCTAGCACCGGCACATCAAGTTCAAAATACACAACAACCGAATGCTCAGCCACAGCCACAATACCAGGTTCTTCGCCATTTCATATTTCCACCCCCAGCGATAGGAAAGAGTACTAATCTTGAACAGCAGAACAAATTTTCACCCCAGACACCTGGAATAGAGGGCGAAAGCTCGAAGAAGAAGAGGAACACGAAGACGTATAGAAATCGGAATTGTTTTTGTCAGCCTTTAATGTTGTGTGACTGTTGTGTTTGGTGTTGTTGTATACCTTGCAGTGCCGGATGAGGGTTGGGTTTTCTCTCAAGGTTCGAAGGTGCAATGATGATGGGCTTCAACCTTTTTTTGTGATAGGTTGAGCAGAAAGATGCAGTAGAGATGGAGGAACTATATTAGAGATCCTTGAACTTTTGACTATTCAAAGTCACTTGTTATGACCCCCCGATAGCTGAATGTTACGAAACGGTTGGCCTTGTCTGTTCAGGCCTCTGGTGGCCTCATATTCATACCCTGATCGATGGCGGGGAACTTCGTAAAAGTCTCAAAAATATGTCTTTACATGTACGTAGGTAGGATCTATACAAAGAAGATATACATAACTTCAGTATTTATGGAACAAGACTATGTATTTAATTATATTACGAGTATTGCCGGCGAAATCTAAGCGGTCGGACTAGCAAGCCAGTTTGTCGCTATGGTTACTAGGCGCGCTAGAGGGACTCGGGCCGACGTACGAGGTACTACGTACTACTTAGATAGTACACAAATTGACCAAGTACCTGGCGAGTTAATTAGAGTAAAGTTTCTTACTACTTAAGTAGAGTAGGTCCTACTACTAAGCTCAACTGTTCGAGTCTAGTACGCTACTTGTTAGCAACTGACCTTCCATCAAACTCCTCATTTTCTCTTCATCTCTTTGTAATTAAGTTGACTTGTTTCGTCTCAGGTGAAATAAATGTAACTAACATTTATTATGCCTGGGACGAAGGCACATATGGAGCTCTCTTTACTAAAAATGTATTTTTCTATACTTCCTAAGCGGGGCAAGAAATCGAATCACTAGGTATTCCTACCCTACCTCTGAAATGCTGTAAAGTTATTTCACAGTTTTTAGTACGATTCGGCAGCTGGAATACGATTCCATGGATTCTACGATTCGGTTCTATAGGCCGCATAATTTGGAATGGAATGTTCTACAGGATATACCTCTGGAATATGGAATATCTGAGGATGTTTAGGGGGTAGATAGTAGAATCATACAATTTTCCAAACCTTCTTTCATATAGATCGGTATATTCTGGGTGAGGGGTCTAGAATCAAAAGGATTCAGTTTTTTAACGTTGGCTTCCAGCATAACGGTCTTAATAAGCCTTCTCACAGATGAAAATCTCTTCTGCTTAGGTAGACACCGTTTGTATCGAACAACCAGATGAGTTTTCCAGCCGATAGCTTGATAACAACGGGTCCATTGTATGTTATATGGTTCAAGTGAGGTGGTCTGGAAGTTTGAGCTTCTTTGACCATGTTTGCAATGTCATACTTCTCGGAATTCTTCTGCTCGAGTCCGCTTCGTGCTCTAGACAATCCGTCAGCGTTGAATCTGTTAGTGCTATGTATATCTGACGTATTTGTTCGACTTTATCGGAGTTATCTTGGCTTTAAAGTTTAAGCGATATTTGTTCAAATACGGCATTAAACTCTCTGTCTTGAAACCGGCATTATCCCCTCGATGCTCAAAATGAACATACTGATTCTTCAGGTCTATGGTATCTACTTTAATTTGGTACTCAACAATAGTACTACTTAAGTGGTTTGAAGCTGGCCGGATTAAGCGCCGTAGCGTATTCCCGACCAGTCCGACCGCTCAATTAGGAAATCCTAACCTCAAAATGTCAGATACACATACTATATTGAGCATCGCGGGAATACTCGGCTAGAAACGTGGCTATATACTTCGCCCCAGGCGAAATAAATGTAAGTTTTTCAGGGGTTTTGACCCTCTTGCTAATCCCAGCCACCCTAGCAAACCTAGATCTATTTCGCCTGGGACGAAGTGAGCTCTCTGTAAACGTCATATATAGATTCTTACTAGCGTTCTATTCTAGCTAGGAGTGTCTTTGTCTATATAAGAAGTGCGTCCCTTCGCAATTGAGCGACGACTAATTGCTAGCGCTCACTTATCGCGTCCCTGATTTCACCTACGACGATCCATCTGTCGTACCTTAACAGGTTACACAATCTTCACAAGCACACTGCCAACTTCTCAATCACACTACCAACTTCTTAAGAACACTGCAACCACTTCGAGAACAACACCACGACCTCTTCAAGAACGAAAGATATTTCTTCGACAAAATGCAAGTCCAAAAAGCCCTCGTTATCGTTGTCTTCTTGGCCACCCACGCACTTGCCCAAAACTTTAATATCGCGTACTGCTACAAAACCGATGATAGTATTGATTATGGAAGGACCCAAACGGTATGCAACACTAAGGCGAAAAATGGCGAATGTGGTGATTGCGTTTACAAGAACAACCAATGCCAAAGCGACGGCAAGAAAATCGACTCTGGACAATGGACCGATGGGTGCAAAAAGACGGGTGCTGCTTACGGGGACGGCCAGTAGGCTTTGAGAGACATGGGAAAGTGGTTTCGTTGCTGTATCCTGTATTAGAGTAAAGGAGCGGGTCGGATGGTCAGATTGGGAGCTACATGGTACTTTGTAGTCGTAAAGGCCGACGCAGTGTGTTGTTTCGGGACGGGGTACCTCAATGGACAGGCAAGGTGACAATCTTTTCCAAACACTTACCTGGTGACGGAACTCGTGGAGATAATCCTGGCTCGTTTGCAAATACGAACCTTTATAGTTCAATGTTTCTTGACGATAAAGTATAATATGTTACGCCTGCTTGGTTCCAAATTCGGTTTTAGTCTTCTGTTCAACGGGTGGTAGTCTATCTCTGTACAGGGGTAGTTAGAAAGGTATAAAGGTTGGTAATATCCCCTCTCTACTATCGTGTTGGAAGGAGCGACATACTTTAGAAGGAAATTAGGACGTTTTCTAAATTAAGCAT